AAAGTATTCGGCATGTTAATAATTATCAAGTAAAATGTTCAGCAACCTAACAATTTGAGTTCAACAAGTTCATCCAATTTAATTTCTAGTAAATTCATGTGGGGGGTGGGGGGTGGGGGGAACAGAAATTAGTGATCCATCTCTAAAGCATTAATGAAACCAGGGGATAGCTCTAAATACAGATTAAACAGAAACTCAACTGAAAGCACTCCAATCATCGGCCTCCACAATTTCTAAGAGTATAATCATTCAGGAGTATATCTTACAATGCTTCAAAAGGCTTAGAAGTCAGTCTTGACTCCTTATAGCACAGCAACTCAAACGAAATTACCATCACACCAGACATCTCATATAGCAGATACATCCTCCTAAGCTCCCCGAGAATGAAATCAAAATGCAAACCTCTTTGTTACCTGGAATGCATGGAAACAAGTATTACATGCATGCAAATTATGATGCTAACAAATTTACTTAGAAAAAAGAAAAAGGAAATATGATGCTAACAAGTGCTAATAATAGATGACCTGAATATTTTTCATAATGCTTCCTAGTGGATGTGCTCACATGTGCTAACTGAAGTAGTTATCCAGAAAAGGTTTCCTGAGCATATCTGTATGCATCTGTGTGTACATGCGCGTGTATGTCACACCATTAGGCACACAATCACAACAATAGACTTCTATAAATAATAAACTTTTTTTTTCAAATTCACCTGAAACTGAAATTATTAGACTTGCAAAGAACATGATTTTCCCATATTTTAGCTGCAGAAGCAATAAGTTAAAATCTGATCACAGAACAGGATAAAACCTTAACCACCCACTAATTGCAAATAAAATACAATTACATGCATATATTTTTCTGTAATACTGTAATGCATATGTACATTAAAGTGAGGTCAACTTAAAACTAGGCTGACTTATGCAAAAGTCAAAGTGATAATTTACTTACCAGGTTAGCAAGAAAGTGCTCGAGCAGCATACCAAAACGAAAAAGGGAACACAAAAGTCAAAGCCCTAAATTTTATGACTTGTGAAGACAAAACTTGCCTGAATTTCACCTGTGGAAGCAATCAAAATCAATTCTTGATCAATAAACAAAAATAGCTCAAAATGAAACCATCGACACCTACTAATTGCAAATAAACTCCAACCATTCTTGACTTGCAAAGATAAAAAAAAAAAA